CCCCTCCCATGAATGTGGTAGGCCTCTTTGACCCAAATTTTTTCAGGCAACCGAAGAAGAGGGGAAGAATTATGTGGATAGCTACAAGAGCAGCAGTGCTTTGGTCAGTTTGGGAAGAAAGAAATAACAGGATTCTTAAAAGGATGGCTAGATCTAAGCAGGAAATTGTAGGAGTGACTAAAAAATATCCACTGGCTGAAAACAATTGATGAATTTAAAGACTTCTCAGCTGAAGATATTTACAGGAACTGGGGTGTTGTGGCAAGTACAAACTCTCTTAAACCTGTGATACAGGAACTTCGGTCCCCACCAATACAAAATAGGGTAAAGCTGAACTTCAATGGTAGTTCTATTGGCAACCCAGGACACTCGAGTATAGGGGACGTCTTCAGAGATGGAAAAGGCAGAATTTTAGGTAAAAATGTATACTATTAAAATAGCTCATATTTTTTGAATTCTAACATTATATACCTACAAAAAAAAAATTGCCTTTGTTACAAAGTAATGTTTGAAACAAAAATGGCATTCATCTTGTATATTAGTTGTTCATTTATGTCAAATAAGCTAAGAGATAGAAAGGAAATGTTACATGGAAGTGTCCTCAAGAATCCATGAGGACTCCATTGTGTGTTTGAGATGGACATGTTTATCTATTTAGGAGAGTCCATGCAACAGTAAATTGAAGACACTCTTGAAAAAGTTAAGTGTTGTATTTGAAAAGTTCTATTTAGTTGTATTTAACTAATCAAGCTGCAATTATCATCACTCAACCAACACAAGGTTCAAAAATGCAAGGCACAAGAAAGGTGCAAGGACAATGGAAGCTAATAATAGATTGAAGGGGACTATTTTTAATAATAGGTTGTAAACAAGAATACAACAGTCCAGAATTTACATAAACAGGGGTGCTACTATCTTTTGTTATTTATACCGAGACTATTATAAATTCTTCTAGGAGTGGTTGAGTGAACCACTCTTCCACATTCAAGTATCATTCTCACCTTTTCTTTTCTTCTATTTCTTTTTCTTTTTCTCATTATTGCTGTATTTTCTCTTCACACTTCAACAGATATCACAATTAATGGCTAAAGGGAGAGGGTAGCTCAAAGTACTCTCACTCAATAATAGATGGTTAGTCCATTAGCCCTATACTCTTCCACTACAAGTTCTCAAGTGTATGGCATTGGCTCTCATCCATTTGACATCTTATTAACCAAATTTAAACCTTCTTGCTAGTTGGAATAGTGGCATTTTTTACTTTTGATAGAAAGAAAGAAATAAACAAGAGGGAAAGAAAACTTTAGAACACAATAGTGTGACATAATATAAAGTTTTTTTTGAGAAAAAATAACTGATTTCGTTAAAAAGAGAAAGAGGTACACAAGGAGGTGTACAGATACATAACAGGGGACAGACCCCTGAGAGTTATGCAGGAGGAAATTTGTCACAATACAAGGACTCCAGATTAGCACCTAGTTTTGCTAAACCATCTGCAGTAGCATTTAACTCCCTTGGAATCCAGTACAGAGAAGCATTTATAAGAGCCAATAGATCTCTTGCCTCTGATAAGAAGTGACTAAGTCTCCACGGTCCAGCTTCCTGTTGTCCTAACCATTTTATGGTGTTTGCTGAGTCACCTTGGATGGAGAAGTTCTGAATACCCAGTTTCCTGACTAGGCAAATCCCTGTTAGAGCTGCTAATACTTCAGCCTTTGTGGAGTCAGCTAATCCAATCGGTCCACTGTAAACCCAGCAAACGAGTCCATTTTCATCTCTTAGCATTCCCCCTATACCGGCAACTCCAAGGTTACCCAGGGCACTTCCATCAAATTTAGAGTCCAAGTTCTTGCCCTTCTTGTTGAGGGGACTCTAGGTGTGTGAGGAGTGTATGGGGAGGAGTGCAGAAAGTGGACCGCATTCCTGTTGAGATCGTTGATATTGACTCCTTTGAACTCTTTTGAGCTGGAAGCCCACTGATTACAGTGATAAACAATGTGATTGAGCAGCTCACCCTTAGATTTTGCCTTATTTTCAAACAGACGATTGTTCCTTTCCTCCCAGATTCCCCAAAGTACTGCTTGAAGCACTATCAGCCAGTAAGCCTTCCCTCTCTTGCTCAGGCCTCTTCCATGCCATTGAGAAATCCAATCCCGAAGGTGATTGGGAGCCACCCAACTATACCCAGCTAGCTGAAGGAAGTAGTTCCAGATGTTTCTGGTTACCTGGCAGTGTATAAAGAGGTGATCAGTATTCATCAAAAAAAAAGAGGTGATCAGCTGTCTCACCCTCACAAAGACAGAGGATACAAACATGGGGGGAGATATAAAGCCTTCCAAGGTTCTTCTTCTGAAGTAACTCGCAAGTGTTAACTCGATTCAGACACACCTCCCATACGAAGAAACTCACTCTTGAGGGGACAAACTTGCACCAGATTTTCTTGAAGGGGAAGCCACAGTCTCGGTCTACCTGAGCTTCGAAAAAAGTCTTAGACGAGAACTCACCTCCTGGGTGTGGTTTCCAGATTCGGGAATCTTGGGAGTTTGGGGAAATGTAAACTTCTTTGAGGGAGAGGAGGAGGTCAGCTAACTCGCTTATCTCCAGTTCCCTTAAGGGTCTTCTGAGGTTCAAGTTAATGTTACTTTTTCATTGGAGGAATAGGAGAGGCACTGAGAAATGGTTGCATCTTTGTTTAGGGTAAGGCTGTAAATCCTAGGATAGGAGTCTACCAAGGTGGAATCACTCCACCACAGATCAGTCCAGAATTTTATTCTATTTCCGTTACCCACCCTAAATCTTGTAAAAGAAAAGAAGAGGTTATGAATGGAGGTGATACCTTTCCAAGGGGCTGAGGAGACTAGCCGGTTTGAGCGGAGATTGCAGTCCCAACACTTTATTATCTCCTTCCAGTCCATATCAAAATCTTAGACATATACTCTTAAATTCTTTTACAGAGCAAGGCCAGTCCATGAGTTAATGAGCAAAAAGGTATGTTACCCAGACACTTCAAAACTGAGGTCAAGTCTGTGTTGATGACTTCAATTTTAACTCAGATACAGCATTGGACATTCCCCACCTTACTGATAGCAGACTGGTAGGGGCTCCTACAACTTTAAGATCTGATAGTGGAGTTTTTAGGGTGAAGGAAAGTAATTTAAGAAATTAAAAATGGTGGACAGAGATAGAAGTAAATAAATAGCTTGACATATGCTAAAGAATGAGCAAGAGATAAGGAAGAAAGAGAACTTTTGCTATTAGAAGAGACAGCAAAGAGATGGATCACTTAGAAGTAAGAACTGAGAGAACCCGTTGGACATAGAGGTTCAGCTCAGGCTGGATTGATGGCAGTTCTACAAGGCTGAGACTGGCTAAATCACTTAGATATAGAAATTTGATGGTGGAAGAAGAATCATACAGTTGTGAGCTGGAAAAAAAGAACGGTATGGGCTCTTTTGAAATACAGATATATGATGAGGGAAGTTGAGAGGTTAGCTGCAGAGCTGGGTACAAATTATCCTTGGATCCCAACATCTGTCAACAGGTTGGCAGATGGGAAGTAGCCATTTGAACAGCTCATCCAAATAGGGCCCGTAAGGACTGATACATTAACAAAAGCAGGGCCTGTAAGGGAACACATGGAATGGAGATCACCACACCGGGAATCAACTGGTACTATTTTGAGAAGTGAATACTCATTTTTAGCCAAAGCCGGCTTTATATCTCATCATTTTTTTTAAGTATAAGTCATTTCATTTCTATAACACCATACCACTGAGTCTGGGTCTCTAAGCCAACCCACCACCACCTTGGAGTCCCCTTCTATCACCGAATTCTCCAAGCCTATCTCACTTTCAAATTGCAATCTGTACATCTCATCATTGTTGTTTATAGCCTATTCCTTTTATACAGGCAGGCAGGTAGGTGGAGACCGAGAGAGAGAGAGAGAGAGAGAAAGAAGCAGAATTCACTAAACCAACCTTTGCTTATCTATTAAATTCTTCTAATTTTCAATTACATGGACTACTTGTATATTCAAAACAAGTAGTCATTTAATATATATTATATATTTAATATATATAACAATTATATTATATAGAATTATATATAATCTGTTAGTTCTGAGTCACTTTGGGACAGCAAAAACTGGTCTTGACCCAATAATAATCAAGACACGAAACCTGGAAATGGAACCAACCCATTGGGACAGAACATGGAACCAGAACTGATATAAATTATCGAAAAAAATAACTGATATAATAATCAATTTGGTTGGTTTGGTTCAGTCAGGTAGATCCAACCCATTTACAGCCCTAGTGAATTGTACAGCAAAGGGAGAATTATAATTAAAACTGAAATTTCACTTTGATGGCTAGCCCTATCCAGGACTAACCATCCCATAACTGCTATTCACTTTCATTCGATGAATATAACACTTTACAGCTACTGATAAAAAAACAACCCATGTATACATTGAATTGGATGTCATTTTGCCTACAAAGTTGTATTAAGCAACAAAGATAATCTTTTAATAACTTCTCTATAATCTTATAATGTTAAATTTAACAAAGTGAAGGGTATTTTAAGAGTCCATGAGTTATTGTTTTTTCATCATGCTGAATCGGACTCCAGGATATGCATTGTATTCTGATTTGACGTACATGCCTATGCAATACTGGTTTCACCAGTAACAAGAACTACAAAATATAAATGGTATTATGTTGGGGAGTTGAAGATCTGCACTCCCAACTTTACCCATATCTAATTTAGAGAAGGATCAGCCGTAAAACTAATGTCGCACACTGTATTCGAGTTAAATACCTGCTCTAAAGATGCAAAACAATTGCCGGTACTGATATAATAGGACCAGGGTGCTATTGTTCATAATAAGCCATTCGCAATAAAGATGTAATAAAAACTAAATCTTTTGATGAACATTATAATTATATTAAGTCCATGTCCTATCACACTTCCCAGGTGAAGCAGAAATGTTTATGCATGTTTACCTGCAACGTACTTATATCAAAATCACCCAGAGGAGAGTCAAGAAGAGGTAAACCAATATTTCCAATTTCAAATTTAACATCCTGCAAACATCCAAAGAAATTCAGAAAGCCTGGGCACAAGCAAACAATTTTGATTAAAAACTACTTCTAAATCAAACTACATCAAGGAAAAGTACCTCATATTCTGAATCAGGTGTCATTACATTCTCCACAGCTTTAGAGTATGACAGACCATCAAACTGTATACCTTCACTATCCTTGACCTGAGGATGATTGTAATTAGGATGTGAAGTAATGGTATCAGTTCCACCAGCACCAGATGATTCTAGCTGAACTTCCTCCTCAAAATTGATTTGAGAATCATGTCCCAAGGCAACCCCATCCCTCTTCAAGGGTGGGAAATTGTAAGCCCCAGTTGCTGCTTCTTCAACTTTTGTAAGTGGAGATGAATATCCAAGATGGTCTTGGTCCATAAGAGAAACATTTTTCCTGACAAACTCATCTTGTGCCAATTTCTGAAAGAAGGACCAATGCTGCGGTTCATGATTCTCCATATTCAAGCTCAAACCAGTTCCATCTTTGTTCAGTGGACTAATGCCAGATATATCCTCAGATTCTCTTGCCTTCAAAAATATATCAGAAAGGAAATCACGAGGAAACCGATCATTGATATCAATAAGAATGTCTCCCTGTTCCTTTGTGGCAACACTGACAGAGGGTTCTTCTCTAGAAACAGCTCTAGCTGAGTTCTCTGTCCAACCAAAAGGATCCATATGTGCTTTAGTGCTATCAACATTTGTATTCTTGGCAGTCACATCACCCCATTGAACCTCCGGTAGATTAGAAGCAGAATCTTCCTGATGCTTAGAGGAAGTTTCTTGGCTTGCAGATGGATGTTCAGATCCAGCTTCTGCTTCATCGACAGTGTGTTCTTTATGGTTACCTTTGACCTTGAGCCCACGGTGGGATGCATCCTCATTGACAGTATCTTTATCATCTACAGGGCTGAGAACTCCCTTGTTCAATTCTGATTTTTGAAATGTTGACTCCTTGCCCTCCTCAGAAAACTTAGGATTCATTTGATTGATCACATCAGCCAGTTCTTTATACTTCGCAAATTCCATCAGCCCATCTCCAATGGTTGTAGGATTCACATATAGTGGTTGTGCTGATGATACAGACTGCTCAGTCTGGGTAACCAAATTCCCTTCGTGCAATTTTTCAGCAGATTCTGTGATTGGGTTTTGCTGTGCCATATCAGAACGTGAATGAGATAAAAGAAATTGAGAACCATAAGAATCATCAGATTTTGATAACCGGTTCTGTGACTCTCCCAGCTCCCTTGGGATCCTCTCAGACTGAAAACCCCTATGAGGAAGCACAGGTAGTTCTGGGTAGCTAAAATCACTTGGATCAGCTTCAGAGTCAGTATATCCAACTGTCGACACTCCTCCAGATGCATGGTAAGGGTCATCATCATTAGACTTATGAGTCTGACCAATGCTAACAGTATCTGCTGGCACTGAACCTTGTACAGGTTCCTGGAGCTTTTTGTCACTTTTTGAAGACAACATAGGTCCTCCTCCTCTTTCTGGTGCAGTAGTAGCAACAGGTACTTCCTCAGTGGGAATAGAATGAAGAACAGAACCATCATGTGGCTGTGAAGAAGTAAAATATGCATTTTCTAAAGATCGAATCTGTTCAGATTCACTATTTTTCTGGATTGAACCATCAAGCTTCTGCTTAGTGTCCTTTATCAGCACTTCAGAATCATGTCCTTGTAAGACATTATATGGCTTCCCAACAGTCAAGCCCCCTTGCTGAATCAGATTCCCAGGGTGGGGTATTGGAATTGAACTTTCCCCAAATGGCACATAATTTGTAGGATGTGCATGGAAGCCATGATGTGATGGACCAGACGAGGGAATGGCATTCCTCCGATCCATATTGTGGAAGCTCTGAGGTGGGGGTATAGCAGAGAACAAGTATTGTTCAGATTCTTCATGATGCATTATCTGACCCTGATAAGACTGCACATGGGTTTCATAAGCACTGGGCAGATTGGTTGGCATTAGCTGAGAAGATTTGGTGGAAGGAGGGACCAGAATACCTGTCAAAGGTGTAGTTCTTTCCATAGCCGGTTCTGCTGCAACTCTGGTACATACCTTTTCAAGGTCAAGACTCAGCAGCTCATCCAAATTATTTGCTAAACTGCTTGCCAAATCATGCCCACTTGAGTTCCTTCTTGGTCCCAATTCCATTCCATTGACAGCAACTACATATTGAACTTCTGAGTCCCCATCAATGCTGCCCAGAGTAAAGTGGGGATCATCCAAATCAATGGCGGAAAACAGAAACATCCTAAGTTTCTGTGATCCTTCCCCATCTCCCAGCACATTGCATTCCTCCATCATGTTCTGCAGATCCTCATCACAAGAGACAGAAACCAGAGCATCAAGATCCTCTCCAGGAAGTTGATATTTGATTGTATGAGCTTGACCATAAATCGTTAGTGCTTTTTGCATAAGCTCCTGCCAAGAAATGTCCTTGCTTATCCGTATAATGCGTGTTTCACCCCCAACATACCTGAGTTTCCCATCACTAGGCCGGGGTAGGATTTTACCCCCAAAGCTACACAGAAACTTAAGTTTTGCTGGTCCACCATCAGAAGCTCCAGAAGAGGCATAACCATGGACAAGTCCTCGATTACTACCATTTTTTGATGAGGTACGTGGAACTGAATGCACAGATTCATAATAACCTTTGTTTTCATGCATAGAAGATCCCTTTCTCTCAAACTCCTTAGCACCACCCTTGTCTGCTGGGGCAATCATTGAAATATCTGAACCACTCTCAGAACCTGTATGAGAAATGCCCAGAATTCCTTTCAGATCCATATAGCGTGTTGCACTGGGTAGATCACCAGAGGCAGATGGAACAGAAGGCTTTCTGGGATTCACCCGTTCACGCATAAATTCAAGAGCAAATTCCTCACCTGTCTGGATGGAGTAATTAAGTACAGGCTTGGTTCCACTCATTACAAACTCTGGAGGTCTAACATTAGTATTAATCAAGCTTGATGGGTCCTGCATGGGCCTCTGACCTGAAGGACCAAGTTCTTCATTCTTAGTTTCCATGGAAATAGATCGAAGCTGCTCATAGCTTTTGGATTGCTCCATCTTCCCTTTCTCCAGTTTTCTTTCCATTTAAATTTACTCTATAGGGGACAAACCCCCAGTCTGATACCACCATGAGGATCAAATGGAAATCATTCTAACAGAAAGTTCTGACATGTAACTACTAAGAGTGAGTTCCACTATCGGTGATCCATATCAGCAGATGAGTTCCTCAAACAGGGATTCTGAAGCAGGAAACAAGATTTCAGTAATTTTCTTATGAAGTGAATGATCACTATAGCATGCAGGATTAATGGCAAATTTCTACCATATGTCAGAACCTTTAAAATGTATTTTATATTTTGTGTATGTATGCATTCATAAAATCTAACAAGAATTGACAATTAAGTTCAACAAAACAGAATTCCAGAAATAAATGGTTGTTCAGTTCAAACTAACAAAATAAAAGCACGGATAAGTCCAAGTTACCAGTTGACTTGACCTAACATCATCTGCACATAAAAGAAAATGGATGAAAAGGGAAACGGAGCTTCTTTTCTTCCTTTTTATCTTGTTTTCCCTCATTGATTATTTTTTCCCTGTTTAATAATGAATGGGGCTTCCTCTTAGATCCGATAACTTGGACTGAGTATTAGAAAGAGAAAGGAGTGAGGAATAATTATCTTTTCCTTATAAAAGATCATAACAAATAATAGATCTTTTTGAGAATGTAAACCCTCCAGTTATTTCTTTATTATCAAGTAATGTAGCAACCCTCATTTTTCCCCTAGGGAAACCCTTCTCTATTCAACATCTAACATTGCAATGCATATTCTACCATAAATTCCATTCACTAGATAAAGCGTTTTTTCTGGCTATTTGAGCAAGCATATAAACAGGGCCAGCCAATTTGATTAACACAATATAATCTTTCGGAAGGCCACTATTAATGTTCTATTTCATCCATGGCAGTTCAATCAGGTGGGGTATAATTTTTTATTCCTCAAACCCATTAATTTGTTTATTGTGGTTTTCGTATCACAATGCTATTTTACAAAACATTAATAAACACATCTATAAATGGCTTTCACAAGGGAGAAAAAGCTTGTTAGTTTTTATTAATCATTTTACTAAATACTAAAAATGGGTAAGATTAAAACCAGAAAATCTATTCACATCTACTTGAACTTTGACAGTCTTGTCCAATAATTTGTCAGATATTGGTGTATCCAATAGCCAGGATGTGCACAAGACAACATATGTGAGGCAATAAATCAGACGCCAGATCCAGGATCAGATCCAACCTTCATCAGTCTAACAATTTATAGTTGACCACCGAGTCACTGATCCATAACCCATCAAAAGAAAAAAAAAAAAAAAAAAAAAAAAAAACACCAACACTAAAGCTGTGTGTGTGTGAGAGAGAGAGAGAACAGAGAGGTGGGGGCTTTAAATGTTGCATGAAAAAAAAAAAAAAAAAAAAAAAAAAAAAAAGAAAAAGAAGGGAAGAAAAGAACTGTACTTGGAAGGCTGGTGCATATCACAACTTCCCAAATACTAAAAGCTCAAAACTAGAAATTCCTGTATTAAGCTCTGACCTAGTGGTATTATACGTTATAGAGGAAAAAGATCCTATGAAACAATATGTGCACAATAAATTGGGGAAAAACAGAGTAAAAAAAATAAGGTTATTGAAAAAGGGAAAAACAGAGTAGAGTTTATAACTACTGAAAATAATAGGCTCAAGGAGCACTCTACCAATTAACGCCCAGCTAGAAACTATTCGTAAATGCAAAAATTATTAAAAAAACAAAACCATATTCTATTGAAACACCCGTGTAGCAAAGATCCTCAGGGGTGATCATCTCAATTTCGTTATATAGAAATCTACATGTTCCGCAAACACTACTTCAGCTTGTACCTACGTTTTCCCTATCGATCTGGTCATTCAAAGAACTCGAACGCCTCAATCAGGGTTTCTAGAACACGAAGAAAAAACAAGAACATCACTTCAACATGCAACCAAATACACCCAAGAAAGAAATAATCAACTAACTACATCACCTACCCCAGGCCCCAAATCAAAAACCAGGCAGAACTGACGATGAGAACAGTTGAACAAACAATCACAACTAAAATCCACAAAAACGGCGCCTTTCAATAGATCCAACTCGAGTTAAGTCCAAATCACCAAAGAACCAGCAAGATCGAGATCAAAGCAATCGTTTTATCTTATCCTGTACCTGAAACAGCTGAATCCCGTGAACTATATCCTCAAGCAGCTACAGTTGCTAGTTTTTGCTGGTTTTTTCTTCCCAGTAATCAAGCAGGCTGAAGTAAAACCGCCACTGCTACAAGTCTACAACCGAAGAGAATTTTCTGTCTCAAAATTCAACTAGATCATCCCTTCTCCCTCCTCTGTTACCCTTTCCTGATTCTAAATTCCACAACTTTCGAAGTTCTCAGACAGAAACTACGGCTGAAGGCCTGAAGCCTCTCTCTCCCCCGAGTCCTCTCCCTCTCTCTCTCTCCTTGTCTCTTTGTTGTTTTGGGATTTTTTCGAGATTTTCCACTAATCTCCGCCCCCTTTTTTACCTTAATACATCCGATATTTCGAGTCTTGTCAGTCAAACCACTGCCGAGTCTCAAGTTCTCCACCAAAGGTTTAAAAATAAACAAGGATGTAATTCCATGTTTCTCCAATCTATTATCCAACTTTTACGAAATTACCACTACTATTTATCTGACCAAAACACCCTTACAACACTACCTTGAAGTCGTATCATCAATCTACTCCATCCCCAGCTCACCGTCCGATTGTGAGAAATCTATGGCATCACAGAAACAAGCAGTTGTTAGTCAAATTTTCTAGTTCCATGATGGAAGGTGACGATCCACTGGCACAATCAACTTATCGCTTATATTCCAATCGAAAGGTAGCTTAAAGCTCAAGATCTATTAAGCGTGATGAGCATCAAATGCAGCGGGACTTATACTGCATCCGTCAATGTCAGGCAGTCAGTGGTTCGGGTCTACCCGACAGAACCGAACCTACCGAACCAATTATGTCGGTTCCGAATCTAATATAATACAGAAAAGCCTTTTGACTTTCTTCTTTGTTTTTATGTGTAAAAAAGTGAATTTGATAAATTGGATATTAGATAATTTTGGTTAAAAACACTTGTTTCATCAATATAATCAATTTTGGTTCATGGGAATAGAGATTTAAAATTGGAATCGAAATGGCCCAATCGTTTGGTTGGATGGAATTAGAATTTCATTCCCATTCATTATTAAATGGCCTTCTCTCTCTCCATTGTGAATGAAAATCCATTTCAGTTTATTTTGATTCCAGTCTAAACTAAACAGGCAGGAAGAATAGATCATTTTAATTCCGGTTCTAGCTGCAAACCAAATGATAGAGTTGCAAATAAATCGGATTGGATCAGTAAGGGTATTTTCAATCCGATCCGCTAAAAAATCCAACTGATCCAAATCCGATAAGGATCCATCGGATTCTCAAAAGCATGATTAGAATTCAAATGTACTATTAGATATCCAATGCGATTTGAATTATATTTATATTATGTAATATAATTAATATATTATATTAGTTATATAATATAGTATAATAATATATAATTATATAATAATATATAGAATATACATATATAATATCTAAATAATATATAATATTTCATAATTAACGGATCAAATCAGGTCACAGCAGATTGGATCAGCCAATATCCACTTTTGATCCATTAAGTTAACGGATCGGCTTTTCCAATCCAATTCGATTTATTAAGATCAAGACCGATATCCGAATCTACCTCTTAACCAATCAATATCGAATCGAATCTGATCCAATTTATTTGCAGCCCTACCAAAATGAACCCTTAGATTGTTATTATGATAAATTATTAAGTTGTCAAGTATAATCGGGTCAGACCCGATTGTCCCAATTAAGAAATGGGACGGTCTGGGTTGCAATATTAATTGATTCAGGACTAATACAGCCTGTCCGTCCTGAACCAGACCCAGACCCGACCTATCAACAGCGCTATATTGCTTGAGGAACTGGTGATACTGTGAATGTCAGACCAGATAATTGGTCCAGATGACCCAAGAACCAGACCAAAAGCATGTTAAATTGGACCCCACACATGCGAATCGAGCCACTGAACCAGCATAATAACCTGTCCACCGACCCATGAATCAAACCACAGGATTCTTCCAGCATCGTGTCCGCACATCTTGGTGGGTCCAACCCATATTACTAATTTGTTATACCTACAGGGTGGGCCGATTGCCCACAGAATGGGCCAATCTAACCCAACCGAGGTGGACCCTATTGGGTTGGGTTGCTGACTCACTGCATTAAACCCGCCCCATGTTACATAAATGACAGGGGTTTGGGTTCTGTTCCCGGGGCAAAAGCTCACAAATATTCAAATGATCATTCAATTCTGTATTTACCTTTAAAGCTAAGGAAGAAAGTTTTAACTGAGATGGGGTCATGTTGAGCATGGAGATGGAGACGTGAATTCTAGAATAAATCAAATACTTTTAAGGCTGTGTTTGGTTGCAGTACAAATGCATGGAATATAAATGTAAAAAATGCAATTTTTTGTTTAATTTTGTTTTGAATTTTACTTTATTCTTGCTTTATATTTTAATTTACTTCATTTATATTGCAATCAAATAGAATAACTAAAATTTGAAACAAAAATAAGTTAAAATTTACACTCAAATCATTTTTTACTATCATAATTTTACATCAGTACAAATTTATTTACATTGCAACCAAATACAGCTTAAGCTTATCTTTTCAAGACTGGTGGGTTTTACTCATTAATTTATGACATTTTTAAACCTATCAGCAAACAACAAGCAATGCTAAGCTATGGTTGATTGCTAGGTAAGGTTGCAATTTGGACCGGGTTGGATTGGAAATTTGTTAAATTTTTAATAACCCGAATCCTAACCGGAGTCATGCTTCTTGTTCTTTCAAGAGATTGCTCCTAGGTTATACTTGTGTGAAAACTAGGCTTGACCAAATACAACTTTGTGGAAAAAACATGAATTTGATATTATTGTCAATGAGGATGACAGAAACTACACATCAAAGTCTATTTCTTATGAGGCATGTCCATTGCTATCGGCCTTGCCTGTCCATGTCAATAGCCCCATGGACATTAATTTTCACACTATAGATGAATATTTGTTTTGTTTGGTTTGTGAAAGAAGATGGCATCATGTGGCTCAATCTAAATCAACATCCATTTGTGTCCAGTTGGGTCAAGTATGTACATGCAAAGCTGAAACCATACTCAAAGCCAATTAACCGCCATTACGGGTGATCATTTCGGCCCGGCCCAAAAATTTCGGGCTTGGGCCTGGGTTTTGTGTTCAGGCTCAGGCCCGAGCCCACATCAGGCCCATAAATTTTAGGGTCGGGTTTGGATTTAATACTTCAAATTCAGTTAACATATATTTAAACTTACACATTTTGTGTATAATGTATACATATGTATAGATGTTATTTTACATTATATTATATATTATAACATGACATGTATAATTTATATTATATGTAAATATAATGTATAAAATAAGTTTATATGCATGTTATGCCATTTAATATATAGATATATAATGTTTTATATATGAATGACATTGGCCCGGAATCAAGCTCGGCCTGGACCCGTATAAACCTGAGCTAAGGCTTATGTTTTAAGCCCGGAACCCCGGGCCTAAGCTAAAGCCCTTATCATGAGTGCAAAGCTCGACTTAGCTCATGATCACCCCTAACCGCCATCCACCTATATTTGGTTTGTGTTAAAGAAGTCTGGAACCACACCCTAGTTAGGATTCAGATCAAATGGATCAGGTGATATGTTTGCTTTGTTTCGGTACAAGTGATAAAAGTTATATCCAAATATCATATATCATATATAATTAATATTTAATTAAATGTATGTATGTATATATAACTGGGTCTATCGATTCAACTGTATGTGACAAGTTGGCCATAAGGCATCCATTATATTGAAGAGGCATGGGTTCAAACCGCACAAAAGGCTAATGGGTCATGTTCAAGTCCTACCACTATCCTGCCAACTAGGTCTAGCATATGGCACCTCCTCCTTATGGGGCTAAAGACACATCACCAATACCAATAAATAAATAAATATATGCCAAGTGCATGAGTCTCCCGTTAGGGGTGCATGGTGCTCACAATTCGGTTAACTGAACCATGGGGCATTTTTTTGAACCGAACCAGTAGTACCAGTTTTTGAAAAACCGGTAACCAGAACCGAACCGATCAGTCAGTTAACTGATTGACCAGTTCGTTTAACTGCCGATTCAGTTCGTCAGTTTTTTAGTTTTTACAATATATATTATGAAAATATAATAAAAATTTATTAATATATTATAAATATATATTTATATATAATGCATATTTATTAATTTATAATATATAATATATATACATAAATAAATATATATATATATATATAGAAATATATGTATACCAGTCAGTTTGGTTAACTGCCAATTTTTTATATTGGTTAACCGAAACCGAACCAGTACCTTCAGTTTTTTAAAAACACCGAACCGACCAATTCGGTTAACCAATTTTTTGGTTCAGTTTTGGTCTGTTTTTTTTGGCCAATTCAGTTTTTCGTTTTTTTTTTTGCTCACCCCTATCTCCCACCAATGTAGAGTCTGGGGAGAGATAGATGTCCATAATCTTACTCCGGTCTAATCAAGTTAGACAAACCCTGTAGGATCTAATTCATAACTGGTTTTGCACATTTACTTATTTGTTAAGACTTGGTCTACCCTGACCCGTCTTTGTTTAAATCAGACCACAAAAGTGAACCAACCCATTGCAACCCATGATACAAGGCACCTATTGTAACGTGAAAGATGAAATTACCCTAAATATACATGAATTATTGTGAGGAGGAGACAGTAGGAGATGGATCTTTTGACCATCTACTGTTATTAGGATTCGTTTGGTTTATATTTGGAATCGAAATGGTCCATTTCCATAGTCTGTTTGGTGTAGGCAAGAGTATGAATGAAAATAGGAGTCAGCAGAAATAAAATTTCATTCCTAAGGGAGGGGCAGAGAATGGCCATTCCACAAATTAGGGAATGCTATTCCAACAGAAATGGGAATGGAATTTTAATTCCACTGTTCTGCCTAATCAAACAGTTGGAATCAAAATAGCCCATTTCAATTCTGATTCTAAACCCCTTTTCCCACAAACCAAACGGGGCCTTAGTTAGTTGTTATTTCACTATAAAACTGAAGAAATGGCACTCACAACCCACCAAACCTGCCCTTAAAAGCACATAGCTTGTCATGTCCTATCTTTCTTGTTTCTTTTGTTTGGTTCCTTATCAGTCCAATGCTTTTGACACTCTATCTTCTCATTGCTCCCTTGATGCCCAAGTCATTTATTTACATCCAACTGTTATGCACTCGATCAGCCCTATTCATGGATTCATCAGATGCAGACTCAAGAAGAGGACCCCACACGCAAAGGAAAAAAAAATGGTGTAAATCACTGACCCTCT